AGGAAAACTATTCATTGTTGAAGGCATGGTTACCATATATTTTCTAAAGTAGCAACATATTTTTTCTTTTTTCTTTTTTTGACTATTTTAAAAACAGAATTGCAATCAAAACCGAATGTATTTAATTTTGTTCTTTTTTTATAGAGCTTTTATATTTAGAAATCAAAAGAACAAAATTATAATCAAATATTTTTTGTATGCTTTACCTACATACTGCTAAATGTGAAAAATTCTTGTGATATTTTCATATTGTTGACTGAAGGAATTCTATTTTATTTAAACACTAGTAATAAATAGAAGCCCATTGAAACTCCCCTTTTTCTTTCCATGGGCTTCTTAGTAAAAATAATTCTAAGTCAAATTGAGTAATTACATATTATTTACCAAAATATTTAATTACTATAGTTATTATCTTCAAATTCGTATTTTAACATTTTTTAGATCAAATTTTATATCTATAAAAAACTATCACTGCCACTTGATACTCTTTAGTCTTAAGAAATATTGTAAAGAAATAAATAAAATTTTACATTTTATAATAAAGCACTTGATTTAAGAAAAATTATAAAGAATTTACTGTTGCTTGTCTGTTACCCGTAGGTTTGAACAGAAAATGTGAACATTTCAAAATGTGCCTTAATTATTTTACATACTTAGTATTAATATTTTTTTAATTATTAAGAAAATAAAATTGAAATTATATGTATTTTGTATTATTTGTGAATGTTACTTATCTATCATGTTTGGATGCCCAAAAAAAGGGCGCATTTAAAATTATAACCGCTGCAGCCGCGTCACTACTAATTTTCAAAAAATATTTAGAATATTGACTTGCATGCCACTTTTGCGGTCACGCTTAGTGAAATAAAAATTACTGAAGTGATACATACGTGCTTCTATAAGCGTCTAATTTGAAACTGCCCTTAGGTGAACTTGCGGTTTCATCACAAGTTTGCCGTCGCGCCACTGTAGTGCTTCTACAAGGTTCTAATTTGAATACGCCCTACATTCGGCAAATACATATTAAACATTTTACTTTATTTATATTTCATAGGTAAACAAATTCCACTTGAAATTGCCATATTGATTAAAACTTTACTCTTTATTCCAAAGACAGATTCCCGTGAGAAGAATTAGTAAGAAATTCTGGGCTTGCTCTATCTAAAGAGACATTTGTACATATTTATTGATTACAAAATTATTTGTAAATATTATAGATCGAGACAACCTACAAAAACTAAACTACAATCGGTATTTTCTCTTTCCAAGTACTCAGAAACTGTACAAAGTAACTTTAGTATAAAGTTTCTGTTTCACTGTAGTTATTAACCTCATGAATGGCACATTTTGATTATCCACTGGAATCTTATTATAGAAGCATATACATAAATCACTTTATGACTTTGTGAAGATGACCATCAAGAACAACCATAGGTAGAAATAGAAAACACATTAAATTTAAAATAACTGAGGAGCTCCAGTACAAAAACCGATAGATCTGATAAATTTCAATTCTAATTTCAAATGATTTTATTGAATGGATTTGTCGCATTGTGTTCAGAACTGTGCATTTGAAATATATTTCAAAGGAGGATTTAGCAGTTGCTGCTTAGGTTGCATAAATTATTCATAGAAACGTACAAAAACTAAAATTTTGCAATAAAAAAAAAGATTAAGTCAACAGACAACGACTTATAAATTTTTCTTCAATTGCAAAAACTCATTTTTACATAAAAAAATAAGTTTATTTCACAATTAGATATATTTTACAAATCGATACCTCCAATGAACACTAAGCCAACTTAATTTTTGGACCTGTTCTGTTTTTATTTTGTTTTTTGTTTCTTTTTTTTACAAAATTCGTTTTTTTTTGTTCTTGTTTCTTTTTTTCACAGAATTCGGGGAGCACAACTAAGATTACATTTATATTAAACAGCCATATTTATATACTAGCCATATTTATTTACTAAGGCAAATAAATATTGCTGTTTACAAAAATAACAGAAGACGACTAAAAAATAAAGATGGCGTAGTGTTCATTGGAGGTATCGAAATGTTAACCACAAAAATATCATCAATCTATTAAGATACGTGCCCTGCCAATAAACTAGCTATATTAGTGCACATGTTCTTAATTTCATCATTGCTCAAGTATTCACATCCCAATATAGCATTACCTACAGCTATCGTCTCCCTCATCGTATTGGCCTTTATCCATATCCTACCGTTCATACCAGCAGCCAATTCAAAGGGCCATTCGTTTTTCAACGAGTCTATTAATGGACATGCTGGGTTGAGAACCTTTCTTATAAGATTTAACGAGCATTTGAACACGAAACCATCATTAAGAACACCTAGACGTCCTTTTTTCCCATGGGAGTCAACGCAGACAAGCTCCGGTTCCATATCTTTACTTGCCACTAACATTTTGGCGTAAACAACGTCGCCGACTTGGATTTCTGGTCTATTCTTTTTTGTTGCGCCTTCGAAAGATAGATACGATAATGACGCTGGACAACTACCGCCAACGTCAACTCTAAATATGTCTCCAGCTTTTTGTATTACAACTCCAATCACATTCTCTCCTCTCGCGGGAATATAACGCTTCTGGTAATTATCGATCCAATACGTGTTTGGTGCTCGTTTGCGAAGAACTCCAGCCTTTGTGGTGTAAACTTTGTCGAGCTCCTTACGAAGACCGGGCCCGAGTATAACCTTACTTTTTTCACCGGCAGTAATTATTTCATCGCTATAGTCACCTGGCAGAGCAACGTCGCCAACAGATATCTTCATTGTTACTCAATTTGTTTGAGATTGACTTGCGAATATTTCAAATTAATTAAATTACTCCTCGCCTAAAGTTTTGAATTGAAGACAAAACAATATCACATATTAAATGCAGTGTTACCGTTGTACATAATTGAAAGTCCCTAGATGGTCAGGAATTTTCCGATAGTTTATAAAAATAATTTCCTAAAATCCGCTAGATGTCTCTAGACATTTTTTACACACATCTCTCATCATTCTTGTTTTTGGCGGTACTTCAATGCTTATTTGAATATCGAATTTGGTTCACAAACATAAAATTGTAAATAAAATTGCAAATAATTACGACAATACGAATCAAAAAGCACTTATTCTAATTTAGTTTTGAACACAACAAACAAAAAATAGTTATATTCATCTCATCATTCTGTGAATGAAAAAAATTCAATCAATAGGTTTTTGTCTTCCTCATTCCTAATTGTAACGAGCGAGAAAGGCAGCAAACGAACGGATGGATGTTGATAGTTTGTTTATTCAGTCCGATTCTATGTTCGTGTATTCAGCGTTAGAACTAGAAAATTGGCCGAATATTACTAATTTACTGTATTTGATTGACATGTTATAATGTTTGTTTCTAAAAAGAGCCTAGCGGTCAAAATTAGACTAGAAGTAGCTAAATATTTTTTTCTCGCTAAAACAAATTTTTACCCGCTAAACATGCATAAAATCCCCTAGATCTAGCAACAAAGGCGCTAAAGCGGCAACCTAGATTAAATGTCACACAGTAAATGATATTCGTTTCATGAACATATATGACAAGAAATACTTAAGTTTTAAAGCTTAGTACAGAAAAATTAAAAAATATTGGATGAAAATAAAAAAAAAAGGAAATCTTTTACTTCCAATATTCATTTACATTTAATGGAAGTTATACAAAAAATATACTAACAAAAATCTGAAATCAATTCATAAGCGCGTTGTAAATTAAGTAAAAACTTAAGTAATGTAAGTAACTCCCGCCGCTTAGAAAACTAGTTAAAAACTTAAGTTTTGATGCCGTTCTGGTATTAAAAACACAATATTTAATGAAGATCCCGAAAATCAAATCGTTTCTCAAAGTATTTGTAACCAAGTAAAAAATCTTTTAAAAAAACAGCGTTTTCTGTCATCATGACATTGACAGTTTCGTTGATTTCATTTTCACATGTGGTTTACGCTTAGTGTGTATGATCTATGTTTACGCCTTTACAGTTTACTTACATTTGCATCGCACCCACAAGGGTATTTTGTGGTTTAATGTAGATTTTAGTTCTTATTACTAAAAATGCCTGCAGTCATGGAAAACGACGTACTTAAATATAAGGGCAGTAACTACTTCCGACAACGTTTACTTCTCTCTACACTGAGTGGTCGTGCAATAAAGATTGAGGATATTCGAAGTACACACGACGATCCAGGCCTAAGGGAGTACGAAGTAAATTTAATAAGGCTGTTGGACAAGGTTACGAACGGTACTAGAGTGGAGCTGAGTGAGACGGGCACGTCTTTGTATTTCCAACCGGGTATTTTGATCGGTGGGCAGGTGATCCACAGTTGCTGTACACAAAGGGGTATAGGTTAGTTTGAAATGTTCTCTAGTAAATTGCATTAAAAACTCAAAATTTATTGCGCTAAATATTACAAAAACTGTCATTTTCACAGGATACTACTTAGAAATTCTACTGGCTTTAGGCCCGTTCTGTAAGGAACCTTTAAATACAGTCTTGCAAGGTGTAACACATAGTGATCTGGATGTCTCTGTAGACAAGATCAAGGCTGCTGCTTTACCTATGCTGTTGAAGTTTATACTTGTCGATGATGGATTGGAGCTCAAGGTTATTAGAAGAGGTATTCAAGTATTTCTTTAAAATTTTTTTAGACATTCGGGTCAACTGTACAGTACCAACACTGGAGTTGAGAGTTGAAATTAATATGGTGAATAGAGTACATAGTTAGTAGTCTAATCTTAAAATATTAACTTAAGGAAACTCATCATTTTGAAGATATAAATTATTGAAAAGGTTTTGTAGGCTATGAATGTGATGAAGGTGTTTAATAGTCACAGCATTTTGTTCCTCCACGTTGTTTTTGTGATAATATTTATTATTCTTTTTAAAATTTATCAGTATATCAATTAAAAAGCATTAAATCAATGAATACACACAATACTGCGCAACTGGAGCGGACCCCCTACCTGGGCCTTCCTCAGCGCAACCTAGTGGTTCATCTGGAATGAGATCCATGGGCAATGGTGTCTATGATGGGTGTTTACTAAGTTAGGCATTCTTTTTTTTTTTTCAAACCAATTTGTTGAGTTCTCTGAACAGAAAGGTTTATTCAGAGTTCAAAAGACTGCGCTCACCACAGAAGACCTATTTACATTAGCAAATCAGCAGCCTATGGTCAACTGAAAACTTTCAGGTAAATGATTATGTTTAATTGAAGTCGTCATTAAGTTTTATTTATTCCCTCATAAGGTAAATATCTTTTATTATGTACAATACTTTTGCTAGATTCTTTAGGAGGAACCCACTCAGAACTAACATGGATCCTTTAACATTAGGTACTCATATGATATGTCACTTTTTGCTCAAGCGAGCGAGCAAGGTGAAGTCCACCTGGAAATAACATGAGCCTTTAAAAGCTCCACTGCACTCCGCTCCTGCATTTTAACTTTGATGTAACTTTTTTAAAACCGCACAGAATGGCTTAAGCTTAAAAAATGTTCTTTCACCCCTCTCCTCCACCTTCAATGTGTTGCATGCATGCTAAAGTGCTTCCCAGTTAGTAAGCAAAGTGGGCTTGTTGTGGCAATTACTGTCAAAGCTTGTACATTTTGTTGTGACATGAATTATATGTGTTATTCCTATTGCAGGTGCAGCAAGAGCCATGCCGGTCAAAAGTAGAGACTGCATTCTAACGTGAAGCTGTATTGTCTACCAAATTCGGAGGACCCAATAAAATAGTACAAATTGACAAATCTAAATTTGGATAAGAAAATACCACAGTAGAAGATGTACTTGGTACTTGGTGTAACGGGCTTGTGTCCGCAACTCAACATCATGGCGCCTATTTTGCGTGTGGAGCGAAAGGTGTATTGAAGGTCATTGGGTTCTGGGAATTATTGAAGACAGCAGTGATGACCTCAGGCTGGAAGTGTGTCCCAACAACGGAAGGTCAGCTGAGATATTGGTGCCACTTATTCAAAATATGTTGCGGAAGGCTCTATAGTACATAGTGATTATTGGAGATCATATGCTTGCCTTCCGCAGCAGGGTTATATACACAGAAAAGTTAATCATAGTGATCCAGAATACAGATTTGTTGCACCAGATTGCAATGCCCCAAGGATCAACATAAGGGAGAGTTTAGTGACTGGCTCATGGAACATTCATGGTGAAGAAAGAATTTAATCTTTCACTGAGACTTATTTGAGGAACTCTAAAAGCTATAAAATTAGGATCAAGTACATAATCAGAAATAGAGGCGAAATACGAGCCATCCATCCCTGGCAACTCATCAGGCAAATAGGCCTTATATCACTTTTAAATATCAACTCTCGTTTGTGCTGAAATCATAAATTAGAAAGCTGAAATTGTACAGCGCCATTATTTATTGTAATAAAGATAATATCTCTAACAATGGCTGTTCCATTCGGTAGTGTGGCAAAAACAGCAAAACATCTAATTACAAAACAAACGGTATCACATTTCATTGGTAATTAATTTGTAAGTCAATGTTAATTATGTAATTTTTCAACTTTCGTCCATTATAGCAAAGCTCAAGTTAAACTGAGAGGTAATTGAGATTATAAGATAGTTACTAACATTATTAACATAGTTTAAGGCTAACATAGGTTAAGGCATGACTAACATAAAGATAAGTTCTAACATCACTAACATACATTACTCACACTACTACCAACATTTGAAATGTTATGTTGCTGTAATTTTTAAAATATTGTTAACCCTTTGGTACCTTGTAATTCAATAAACTATATGAATATTACGAAATGTGAAAGTATCTAAATGTGTGATAAAAAATAGGCTGTGTGTGGTGTTGATTGTAATAAATATAGTATTTTGAAGTACTTATAGACTTCATGTTTTATTTAATTTTCGTTAGTTTAATTGATACCTATGAATTAAACATAAAAATCAAAAGAAAACAGATGTATTTTACATAAGCCAAATCTTGGCTGCGTCATTCAGTAGGTTTGGTTAGTGTATGAACAAGTAGACCGAGCTAAGCAAGCGTGACACGGCAGCCAGAAGAGAATTTGTTTGCATTTCCTAAATTATGTTTTAATTTCAGATATTCATAGTCAATAATTTGCATTTTTTGCTAGGTTTTAAGGTTAAATTGACATTCTCGTGTAACTCAGAAATGGGTGGTTCTGTAACTCCCCGCTCACAGGGGCCCCTTACATATTGTCTCGTTTCAAAGCACATGTCCCCGTTACACAGTCAAGATAATTCTTTCTTTTTTTCTTCAAATCCTAGGAGCGCCACCACTTGGCGGGGGCGAGGTAGTATTCAAATGCCCAGTCCGCCGGCACCTGCGGCCATTGCAATGGACAAAATGGGGACTGGTGAAGCGGATACGTGGAGTTGTATATGCTCTGCGAGTCTCGCCGACAATGGCTAACAGAGTTGTAGAATCTGCTAAAGGTGTAAGTTAAATTCTGTATATAACTCTTGCATTAGCTATAGCTAGTAATAGTTTAGTCTACCTGCAACTTGATTTTGATTGCCTCTCCCGATTGGAAACTGCGTCTGTTCCGAGTCGCATAATTGCGATTCACAACTGGTCGTTCGGAAACTTTTGACATTTCAAATCGGTACAATAGTTGATTTAACTCACAAATTAGAAAGATATAGTAAGAATCAATAAGGCTAGCACGATAAGGTGCGACTAGCGGGAGAGCGATATAAAGTGCGACATACTGCCATTTTCGCAGAGATCTCGCGCTTTATGTCGCTCTCGCGCAAGTCGCGCCCTGTCGTGCTAACCTACAGGTTCATCTTCTCGCTTGGAAACCCATCTGATTTCGAGACTCGGATGGGATATGGGCTTGCTGGTCTTTTTTACGGACATCCTCTGTCAGGTTGCATTTTGTAGTAACCTTTTTTAAATCTAAAAAAGCAATTTTATAACTTCGCCTAAACCGGGTTTCTTAACCTGTGCTCCATGGACCCCTAAGGCTCAATTTATATTGCGGCGGAACGGAATAGGTGCGAATTTTTGTAACGATATTGTACATAGCATAATGGACTTTATGGTCAATTGTGTAACGTACAAACTAGACGAGCCAAAATCTTGCGCGTGCTTTTTTTTTGCGCACTTGCAAGATTTTGGCTCGTATCTAGCCTAAGGAGCCCATATGCGAGCCTACCTAACATAATGCATTAATATAAAAATTGGTGTACAGTATATTGGGAGTAAAAATCGTCGGTGTTTGGTAGAAAGGGCAAAAGCACCATATCGAAAAAAATTTCAGGGTAGCATGTTCTAGTTTTTCACGACTGTTTTAAAATATTTACGTCCTGCTTTAAATTCAATTTTAAAACTTGAACTATGCTACGGCCATCCATCATTGGAGCAAATGAGACGCGCATTAATGCAACCCCTTTCTGCTTCTTCATCTTTTCGGAAAGGGACCGTGGGCTCTTTGAAATTTGAGTTATTATTATCCACCATACCTGTAGGATAAAGAAATTTGATAACAACAGTAGATAACCCAAGTTTAATTCTAAACTTTAATATGTTATAATTATTAATACAAAGAAAAGAAACTCAGAAAAAATTCCTTTCATCCGGCCGGATTCGAATCGACGACTTCTAGCATACTGTGCGAGGCGCTATGCCAACTAAGACACGGAACGAACCAGCGGACCTCACGAATTTTTGTGTTTTTTGAGTGTGGTTGCGTCGTATCTTTGTATTGGTTTTTCAATGACTTTTTAGCCATAGCGCCATCTATGACAAATCTACGATATTTCCTCACCCAGTTAGATACGTTTACAGCTACCAGCCACAGCTAGAGATGTCGCTATTCATGATATTTAAATTTTTATTGAATTGATATTCAATTATTTTTATGTGAATTACTCCACTAGTTTGTTATAATTTATTAATACAAAGATCGAACACTCGGAAAAAATTCTTTAATATGTTCCTTACAGGTAATGCTTAACTTCTTACCAGATGTGTACATAAACACAGACCAGTGCCGCGGGCCCAACGCGGGCAAGAGTCCCGGCTTCGGTATCAGTCTCGTCGCTGAAACTAACGAAAAAACCTTCTATTGTGCTGAAGCTGTGAGTAACTGCTATCATTTATAATAATGGGAGAGTGAGTACTATGACCTATCTGTAACTGCCTCCGCGGCCGAACGGTTACCATGCTCCGGCCACGCTAGAGGTCCCGGGTCCGATTCTCGTGCCGGGAGAAATATTTGTATGGCCTACATTTATTTCTGTCGTGAGTTTGGGTGTAATTTGTGGTTGTCTATGCGTGTGTCCATGGCACCCGCGATACAGGGTTAGGGTAGAGGTCAATGATTTGAATCCCCGTGGAAGCATATGATCATATGAAGCATTGATCCATGGACCAGAAGCAGGCCTGTGTTTTGTTGTGATTTATTTGGCGTGACTGCCTTCATCTTTCCAATTTTTCCTTCCTTTGCTTGTAGACTGAAATAAAATAACGCAGACAAATATACTTCTAGCAGCATTTACATATACTAACCTAACCGAAACCCACAAGACGGTCGAACCAGCTCGGAAATGCAAAAAAAATTACGGCCGGCATTCTATACAATACTTAGGTATTCTATACAATGCCAAAGAAACTTGTATAATAGTCAAAAATATTAACTATCATGCATATACATAATATATTAAATTACAATAAAAAAATATATTAACTTAAATGTGTATGTGGTTCGTGAGCTTGCCGCGAACGGTACGCGTGCGGTTCGTAATGAACCGTCTAGTTAAAGACTGTTTCAAGCGTACACACTGTCTGCACGTTACAGCTATAGGTCGCTAATGAGTACACGGCTTTAGTGGGGCCCAACTTTAAGTCTGTCCGTTGTAACTGTGGGCACTTTGATTTTTCTGTATTTAGCGGCACATTTACGGTACTGTTGTTTGCTGGGTCACCGTCTACTTAGTTGCCACTATCGTTGTGTTACGAGCTCGCAGTTATTCAGATGCGTCATTGTTTACTTCAGAAATCTGTAGATGCCGGCTCCGGCGAGATCACACTTCCCGAGGACTTAGGCCACGAGTGCGCACATAAGCTGCTAGATGAGGTATACCGCGGCGGAGCTGTTGATTCGTCCTTCCAGTGGCTACTCGCGCTGTGGATGTCCTTGGGACAGAAGGACGTTAGCGAATGTATAGTGAGTATTGAATACATTCTAATAACTCCAACCAGCACTACGCTAAATAAATTTTAAGACCTCTTCTGACCGGTATCGATACCGTTCTAACGCGTCACGATACGACACGTCTGTAAAACCGGCTTAGGCACAATTGTATTCAGTTGTGCCTTTTTGAAAAGATACAAACGTTATTCAGAACACAGTTACCGAACGTCCTATTGTTTACAAAGCAAGAATGTAATATGGAAATCTCTTATTATTTTAAATAAAGTCTGAGTTTTGTTCAATTTTATTAATTTATTTTAGTGCAAGACTAATGCATTCCTATATTTTAGGCCTTTAAAGTCATTGACTTACAATTATATGGACGACGGGTCTAATACAAAAACCACGAAAAAAATGTCCCAAGTCAACCTATTTAAACGTAGTGACATGTAAAGGAATTTGAAAAAAGCTAAAACGTTGAATTTAAATTGTAATGTCATCGCAGTACTGTCTAATTTTGCTTGCTTCGCTGTCAGTCGAACAAACGAAGACTAAAGCGTGAATGACGCTCTGTATACGATTTTAACGCCCTATAAGTTCGGACACTTTTTAGCGCGGACCCGACGTCCATATAATTGTAAGTCAATGTTTAAAGTCTTAAAAATGTATATAAAAGGGTTTTCATTTTACTTATAATCTATTTTACCGACTAACGCTGTTGGATAACGATATCGAACGAACGAACGTTGAACTCGGAATAAGGGTCCTTCGATTCGAGAAGACATCCAATCGAACGATTCGGTTGAAATATCGAAGAGTTCTGAATCGGGGCCCTGATCCCGAATATGTATGCAACGGCAGTATCATGTTCCAAGGGCAGTATTATGTTGTAAACATTTTATAGTCTAGTCCAGGTTTTCTCAATCAAATTGTAATGTAAATTCCAGGTGGGTCCTCTATCAGACTACACTATAGCTTTCCTCCAACACCTAAAGGAGTTCTTCGGCGTCATGTTCAAACTGGAAGTTCAGAGAACCGATGATGTCGACAGCGACTACGAAGAAACGGCCTCCGCGCAAAAGGTCAAATTGACGTGTGTGGGCATTGGATATGTTAATATTAGCAAGAGAACTTTATAAATAAACGTAAATAATTTACAATAGTATCTTGCATTTATTTTATACCTAACTAGCAATGGCGAGGCGTCCACATAACTCGATTTACACGGCTTGCCTAAAATTTTCCACGAATCCAATACGACATTTTGTGCTAAGTTTTAAGTGTAGAATAAGTTAACCAGTGAAATAAACTGTACCAGTACCTTGTGTGCTAATAAGTTGTGTTAAGTGTCGCCAAGGCGCCACTTTTTCTTAAGGTAGGTGTTTTTGTTTTGCTCCGGGTTTACTTACAACAATTTTCACACCTGCCACTGCTAACAAGAGCAACGTATAATCGCTGCGGAACGGAATAGAAGCGAAATTTTTAACGATTGTGTAAGTTTGTAAGTTACACAATCGACAGTAAACTTCATTAACTCAGATCAAAACTAATTTTCATTGTTTTTTTCAAAATATATTTTTTTGCCCTTCTTCCTCGAAGCTTCAATTGACGAATGTTAACGCTTAGCATGTTTGTGCGCACTATCGACGAGATACACACACATGCATACTGCGTGCGTCTATATAAGCCAGCGGCGAACGCGCCACCGCCTTGCCCAATCATGACGTACGCCAGCGTCGCATTCGCTCAGGCAAATTCCGCGTTAATACACCGTCTGCAGGCTCTCCAAAATAGATTCATGCGCAACGCGACGGGTGCCCCGTGGTACCTGCGCAACGCTAACCTCCATATAGATTTACGACTCCCCACAATAGCCCAATTCATGAAACAGGCATCGAGGAAATACTTCGACTCTGCTCCTCACCACCCCAACCCCCTCTTGGTGGCTGCATCTTCTTACGACCCCCTCAGGGAACAACCCCACCGCGTAAATAGGACCCGTCGGCCAAGGGAAGTCCTCAACGACCCTGACGACCTTATCACTCTCGCCACTTTGAAGGCCAACCAGATCGCTAGTCAGTCCCGTCACTCACGCACCAACCGTCCTCGCACTTCTTCGTAAAATTTTTAATCGTTTACATTTTTTAAACTAATGTAGATAGGAAGCGTATACCATTCGTGAAAGTAGCAAATAGATAGCAATTATTTGTGATACATACTTCTGGAAAATCTGCTCCCTTCATGCTGAACAAAGTGGCGACTAGCCATCCTGATATCAGAATGGCTGGTCAATTATTTTTTTAAATTTCTCAATAAATCAAAGGTAGCAATTATTTAGAAAAGGTAGCAATTCTGGAATATACACTCAGTGCCAGACGCCACAGGCGACCAGCCATCCTGACGGTCACCATGTTCACCCTGGAAGTTAATTATGCTATGTACACACGCCAGCATATCAAACTACACATTGACGTACTTGTTCCATTGCACTAGAGGCGATTTTCGAACAAAAATGTGTAGTCTGATGTGCCGTTGTCCGTACAATATCGTTATAAAAATTCACTTCAATTCCGTTCTGCCGTAATGTAATTAGAGCCTAAGTGTGCCGCAGCTTTGTTTTTGTTGGTACGACCATTATTATTTACTTTAAAGTCCCGTCAATAAGCGGCGTGCCTAACAAGGTGTTGAATAAAATAAAACAAAATCAAACAGTGATGGGAGATTTATTTTGGCAAAGGCAACTATCCTAGTCATGTCGAATGTATGTAAAACTACTGACTGCGTCCAACCTTCGGCACCTATTGAATAAATATGTATTTTTTATTTATATAATTACACAAGGGACGAAGCGACCAAATTTTTTTTTACACAGACTGGTCTCGCGCTTCTGTAATTTTTTTTTAAATTTTATAACAACTAAGTAATAGGAGTTGAGTGACCAGAATAATTTTCGTTTATTTTATTTATTAATTAATAATAATTTAGTAAGTAATAAATTAATTGTGAGCTGTTGTTTTAAATACAATTTTTGTCGTACTAAATAAATTTTCATTACAAATACTTAATTTCTTATTGTGTAATTAATTCACATCTTAATGAAATAAATCTTGCAAAATGATTGTGTAGTTGTATGTTTGAAAAAGAAAGCTACGTAAAAATAATTATAACCGTAACGCCGAGTATAGTTATCTATTTTTCTTAGACCTTTCATGGACAGTATTTAAATGTTACAACTTCAACTTTTGTATCTATGGCTCCGTCGTTTTGCGCGACGATTTCGCCAACGTCAGGGTTGAAAGACATGTAGGGTCGTATTCCAGAATTCTACTCAATGTTCAAGTCAGGATTTGAGCAGACTTAAGTATGATTTCAAGCACTGGAATTACGACCCTAATGGCAGGAACTTGAGTATGATTTCGAGTGCTTTAAACCATACTCAAATCCTGACTTAAGCATTGAGTAGAGTTCTGGAATACGACCCGTAGTGCGGTTAAAAATACAGTGTCAGATAGTACGTCAAAAACTTAAGTTTAGCAAATTTATTATGTTTTATAAAAAGTCATGGAACAAAAGTTGTTGTTTGTGTTAGTTGTGACTTTTGCCTGTTTTGTCTTCTTATCGTGTATTAGTTTGGTGCAGCAAGCGAACAGCTAGCTGGCTACAGGCAAAGAATGAAAATCAGCAACACTGATTCTTTAGCTTTTTCCACATCACTCGATTGTTTTTTTTCTATTCGTTTTGAAATATTGTGGAATAAATACCTTTTTAATTTTTCTTTATTTTTAAAATGTTCAATGTATGTTTTTTTTTAATTACAAAATAAGAGTGCATTTGACTTCCATCTCACCTGGTGGAAAAAGACACACCTAATAATAAAATACTGCCTATTCAGTCTCGCCTTGAAAAAACCAAGTCATACCCCGCAGGAAACAAGCAGCAGTGAATTCCACTCCATAGCCGTTCGCCATATAAATGTGCAAGCGAAACCCTTCGTGTGAATCCTTAGCATATCCACAACATAGGGGTGGAACCCCAGCCATAGTCCCCCGATTATGGAAAGGGGATGACGGAATTAATTCGTGATACACTCTCTGTTATATATCAGTCAGATACAACAGTCTGTTGTTGATACTTGTCTACGGAAAAGCAGTAGGTAGCAATTACACAAAAAAGTACCCCGTACTATCATATTCTAATATTTAATTTTACGGTAAATGTTTTTACTGTCCATGAAAGGATTAATGTACTGGTTTTAATGGGCACAGAAAGCGGACCTGGCGGACGCGGCATCGCAGTAATAATTACTTAAACTCAGTAGCATATGCCAATAACACGATTAGCCTCTAGTTTACAACTTTAGAGAATTGGTAACTTTATAAATAAAAAATTATATTCGTAATATACATCGTAATTTCAATTTTTATAAACTGTTTTGTTTAGAGTCTATACAACCTGAAATGGCTTTGGTTAATTCCGCATAAGTGAAAAATAAAACCTATATACCACGAAATTTTACAAGAAAACTGTTGTATTCAGTAGGTACTTTACATATACCAATGATTTTTTTTATATCAACTGAACTGAATAGAACACGTACATATATAGTATACGATATTCATTTTTCAAATAGCTTCAATTTACGTTTGTAAAAAAATTAATTTTGAAATAATGCCAGTGTCCCTGGCGCTCGATCCAAGCAAAATGAACTGTATTAGTACGGGAAAAATTCTAAGGTAGTATCGACTCTTGAGAAGAATAAAAATAACGTTTGAGATTTAAAAATATAAATTAATATAAGTATACAATAATATATTTTAAGTTTCATGAAATTAAGAAACTGAAAAGAAAGAATGTTTTCAACTACTGGTTTATTTAGTCAATGTTTATTTACTTGAGAAAAACAGAGAGGTACTATACTTTTTTTAGTTAGCGTCTACCTATATTCAGTTATCTAGTACTTTAGTCTGTACGCGATATTGCAAATTTACAAGAACAAATTTTCTCAGTGGCGTAGCTAGACATATCGCGTTTCCATTTACACCCAAAATAGTGATTGCACGACAAAACTTTGCCCTTTTCTGTTTTAACACGAAATCAACTTAAAAGAAAATGCCAGGGGCTGCCAACTCTGAAATATTACTTACTATCTATAATAAAGATATTAAATTTGAGTAATTATGTTTTTGGTATACTGAGGAAATAATTTAAAGAAATTATCGTTTTCATACTAAATAAAATTACACTCCTGGGCGCATAATTCGAGCTACGTTACATTTTCAGTATTAAATGTAGCTTAAACTATGTTTGATTGATAAAAAAACTACACTCAACAAAAGTGTTTATTAGAGATAAGTTCGGTTTTGCTAATTACTGAAAATCAGGATTTTTTTAATGATTTCAACACCAAGGGATAATTTTTGGTCAATTTCGCTTTCTAATTCAAATTATAAAACTGACCAAAAAAATTCATCGGTGTTACAAAAAATTCGTTATTAATTGTAATAATAATTTTAATTATTTATTTTAAAGTTAATAAATTAAAATACCTCTTTTCAAGTAATTGGCAAAAATGTGCACGAATCCTAGACGCTTTTGATGTGTGCATTACGCAATTTTGAAACTGGTATACTAAACATCATTCCCACAAGTCCTTGTTGAAAATTTGAATTGGTAAAACTGAGGAAACAGTTTCTTGAACGATAACAGTGTTTCTCGACTCTAGAGCTTTAAGAATAAAAATACACCTTCTTGTTCTTTTTTAACCGACTACAAAAAAAGGAGGACGTTCTCAATTCGACTGTTTTTTTTGCATGTATGTTACGCGGTAACTCCGGTATTAGTGAACCGATTTTCATGCTTTTTTTTGTTGGAAAGAGGGTACCTCCATAGTGGTCCTATTTCATTTTGAAGAAAATCGTCCACCTCTAAGGGTGGCTGATCACGCCTAAACATTCATTTTTATAAATAGCGCCTAAATTTTACTTGAGGAGCAATTATTTTAATGGTTGGTTTTGCTATTCTCCAATTCAAGGCGTTTTTCTCTCTCAATATAATTTGAATAGTGAGAACCAATTTTTATTAACTCCTATATCAAGCCCTGTATAGTGACGAACTAGGGGATATTTCAATAAAACTTGGCTAATAGATATAATTCCACGTACTTTTGAGGTCGGTTTTTTTAGTACTCTGTACTGAGATTATATTATTAAAGTATTATAACTCCATTGACACAATCCATGATTCTGCCAACGTTAAGGAAGACACGTGTTTACTACTCAGAATTGACCGATAAATTTCGGTGATAGACTTCGCTGAGAATGTACAACACATACACAGGCTAATACAGAAACATTAGGGTGGCTCGAATTATGTGCCAGAGAGTGTAATGTAATAGATTCTTTTTTTATAATAGTGTCGGAACGAACAAGTCGTACGCCTGTTGATAAGTTACACGCCTGTCCATAACAAGCGCAGTACCACTCAAGAGCTTTAAATCGCAAAGATCTGAGGGGCACTGCCACTGCGCTCGTCACCCTGAGACATAAGTTGACAAGTCCCATGTGCTTGTAATTTCACCAGCACCCTTACCCTTCAAAACCGGAACACAGTAATGCTAACATTACTGCTTGGCGATAGAAATAAGTAACGATGACATATATGACTGGTGTCACTTACGTGATTTTTAAATAAATTTTATCAGTTTCCCAAAACGTCGAATGCGTACCCTGGCATGACAATTTCATGTTAAAAACAGAAAAACAAGGGTGCCATTTCCAATCGGGACAATTCCCCCAAATTCGTCAGCTACGTCACTTACCTCAATAGTTATATTCCAATAGTTCAACTCTTACTTTAAAATTGAATTCTCACTTGTTGCAACACACTGGTTTTTGGAGTTACTATTTTAAGATAAGTTTTCTATTGTTTGTTAAATATATTCTTATTTAAATAGCATTTTAAATTAACGGCATGGTTTTGTTTGTATAAAGCCGTTTGTATAGAACGCGATTACTAAAAACAATTATTGGGCGACGTTCTACTGTGATGCCTACGTAATGTAGGTACAGCTTAAAAAAACATAACATTATCCCATGCAAAGACAATTTAGCAAAAAAAAAACAACATAATATTATTTATTTAAGAGTAATTTCAAATTAATAAGTCCAAAAACCAGTAAGTAAACTTCACATCAAATTATCAACACTGTACAGTATATACATCGTTAACAAGCAGTCAACTCGATACTAAATAAGAAAATATAATTTAATCTATCGATTAAACCGAGATCAAGACTTTACTTACTGTTTAAACAATATACACTTATTAACAACATTTACAAGATTTTTTTTTAAAATAATACAAGGTGAAATTTTAATTCATTATCAAAGTCGCACTTCTTTATATAAATGTACCATCAATCTCTATGTCCGTGGTAAGTTACCCACTTTAAAAGATCAGTCTCACACTAGAGAATTTCCTGTACGAAGTTAACAGATTAAAATTCCACTCAGTTAACTTTTATAGCTAAGTAGCAATGACCCGTTTGTCGCAATTTCATTAACTCTCGTTTTCCCCTATTTTTAAATGAAAATGGAAATTATCGTAACTATAACAATGTATAGTAACAAATTCAAAATTCTATCAAATTCGAAAATTGTTTAGCTTTTTTTCAGATGGTAATACCTCTCCTACGATAAGTTTCTAGCATTTTTTATTCCCCTGTTGTTCCCCTGCAAACCCTGTAAGCCACTAGATCCCCTGCAAAATAGGTGACACTTGTACCCCTGACAAGAGCAGCTTTTATAGCAGCAGTAAAGATGTATCATTAATACCCTTAATTGGAATATACCTGGTCAAGACGTATAGAGTTAAAAGGAGATTATGTAGAAAAATAAACCACAATTTTTTGTTTTATTGAATGTCACGATGTTTGACCACGATGATATTTAACTATTTTTGTGATATTAGTCCACTAGTTCGTAGTAATATAAATTAATACAAAGATAGCGACATAGCGTCTGACACGGTTTGCTAGAAGACGTTGGTTCGAATCCAGCCGGCTTGAAGGATTTTTTTCATCTTTGTACTAATAAAAAATAACCAGAATTAAAAAAAGGTTTTTTTCTAATCAGTTATGGACTTGTCAAACCGCCCTCGTATATGTGCAAGCCCGCCGCGCACACATTAGCAGAATCAGATGGTGCACTCACGTTGCATAACGCGGATCGTCACACACGCCATTCATAATAGAACTGAAGTGGTCACTCGGTATTTAAAACATGACATCAAATAGTAAACGTGTTTATTGTTGTGTCTGTGGTTGTTTGAACTAAAGCGCCTGAAACTTAGAATTGTTCAGCATCTCATTTCTACTTCATAATCGAAATACCAATCCGCGATGTTGGTATGAAAATATCAATTCGTAAATAATGCATCGAGAATGCTGAGACGAACAATTCAGACGTCGAAATAGTTAGATTGGTTTACTTCAGCTATAGTCTGTCTTCTTAGAAGAATGTAAAATGACATTCATTATGCAAAAATGTTGCCCGCTTGCAATTAACTAGTGATTGCAGTCGATATAAATATTGGTCACACACATTATTCACTTTGATCATCATCGACCCGTTAATCATCAAATTACCGAGCACTAGTTCATTTCACGCATGCATACACTGTATTTAGTACTGTTTATGAAAAATACAAAAAAGAGACATATTTTATTAACAAAAGTTGATCTTGATACTAGTACGCCAACTGTCAAAATAAAAATAAAGAAAGCAAGAACGCAATTAGTAATCATTATAACGACGTAATCATCTTTCACAATCTATCGATAAAACAACAAGTACTATCTAAATATCGTAAATAGTATCGTTAATAAATTAATATCGTAAATAGTATCGTTAGCTATTTTTAAAGTGAGAGTTAAGGAGCATTATTTATCTACTATTCCGTCCATATCTTAGGCATCTATAATATTCTATAATATTATAAAATATGTATTTATCTAAGTATTTATATAATTTATAACAATTTAATATTTTTATATATTTTTTTTTTCTTGTTTTGTTGTGCACATATGCCCGTTCTTTTAGTTATAGTGTCCTGTATTTAGGTCTGCAGGAAGAAATTTCTATTAGAAATAAGCAGAACCTTTTGTTTTTAATTTCGCTTGTATTCTTTGTGACTTGTTGTATTTTTCCTGTACAATAAACTATTAAATAAATAAATAAATAAATAAGTACATAACTATTTAAAATTTTGTAATAACTGGCAACTCTACAAATGTCATTTTACTCCGTCTTCAAAAAAGACAGTCTATACCTGCTCGGCGGAATTGTGAAAAAACTAGCCTATACTTTTGAAGACAATACTTTCACAGTTTAATGACATACGGCATTTTGCTTTGGAGTAATGAATGCTACTAGACTAGTTTACGTCTTGTATTAAAATAAATATTGTAATGATAAATGTATTCAAATGCATATTTACAAAGAGCAACCCCCAGAGTTTCTCATTCTTTTCAGGAGACGACGACCTTACGAATGAGCAGTAGAATTTAATCAGTATGACGATTGCAAGTGTAATTTGCTTACCTATGAAATAAAAATAATTTTACTTAGACCTTATTTTTTTTCAAATTATGTTTCCAACGTGTAGTTACAACTACGAATATGTAGCGAGCTACTGAAAATTATGTAAATGGATTCATTCATATTTAAAATTGTTTTTGTACCATTTTCACGCCACGTTTTAGTTGGCAGACGGCAGATATATAGTCTCAAATGTGTCACACCGAGGTACCGGTCTTAGCGATTGAACGAGCGGCGCCTCACACCAGTCGTTACATAGCTTCTACCAAAACTGCATATCTTCTTATGCTTGTCACTGCTTAAGTGTGTATCGTGTGTGCTGTATGCCTAGTTACCCATATTGCGTCTTGCTTTTATTTCTGCCTTTACTTCGGACCTTACCTATCAACGTAAAATACGACAAAAGGTGGAGAGGCTCGGTTAGTAAAACAAACACACTTCAAACATTAATGTGACAACCCTACACCCCTTGCGAAATGAAGGCAGATGATGATGCGCCTACTTCTTCTCGTCTTATTACACTGTTACTACTCATATTAAGGGTATTAAAGAGTTTAATTTATGACCCTCTGTACGCTTGTCCGGGATACAATGCCAAACTTATCTTATTAGTGCCCTTCTAGATATTGTGTTGTTCTTTAGTGGTCCTGGAATTTGTTGTTATAAGGTTCAAAGTCTGTAGTGATTTCATGGCCCGTATTAAAAACAACTATGGTCGTCGGAATCTTGAATGATGCAATCTCAAGTGACCAAGACACTATTTGATCTTGAACCGAAGCTTATGTACTAAGTTATGTTTATTAATAATCAATAAGTAATATTTATTAATAAAATTGACTTAAGTAAGATCTTAATCGTGCATTCGAGATGGATTTATTTTATTAATACGGGCCTAAATAATTTCGCGATCCGCAACAACTTTCCAAAAGGAACTTGCGTCAAAAATGAAATGAATGCTGTCGCAAGTTTCGCTGTGAGGAAGTAAAGGATAGGATATTAAATACTTGTTGAGTTTAGAGAACGTTTCTGCTAGTCGGTGTACGGATGAGGCTAAGGCCGCACTGTGAGCGCGGGGCAGCGCCGTTCTCAGAAGACGGAGTCCGCGGAGCGCGACAGCTGCACGGGGTGCGAGGGGGAGCGCGCCAGGCGCTTGCGGGGCAGCTTCTGCAGGGTGGCCAGCAGGCGGGGGAAGTCCGGGCGCTCGCTCGCTCGGTATGACCAGCACAGCATTAGAATATCCTGCAACCCACAAGGTGGTCTAACATAATAGCACTATGACCTTGACTTACTTGTATATGATCAGTTCAATTAGCAGTGTGTTTAAAAATGCATATCTTAGTTAAACCATGGACCAATAACTCAAGAGGACTGTTGACTAATCAGAAACGTGAATCATTTGGACAAGTTTACCGATCGAAAAAGTAGACCACTTGGACAAGTTTGCCGATCGAAAAAGTGGACCACTTGGACAAGTTTGCCGATCGAAAAAGTGGACCACTTGGACAAGTTTACAGATCGAAAAAGTGGTCCATTTGAACAAGTTGACTGAGCAGTAAAGTGAAGCATTTCGACAAGTTTACCGATCGAAAAAGTGGACCACTTGGACAAGTTTACCGATCGAAAAAGTGGACCATTTGAATCAGTTGATCGATAAGACGGGTGAGCAGGGTGGACCATTTGGACAAGTTGACCGATCTAAAAAAGGGGACTATTTGAACAAGTTCATCGACCCAAAAGGATTTGTGTTTTAAGTGAACCAACATGAAAAATGCAATTTTGAAATAAGTTTATTTATACAAGAATTATCTATGATACGTGTCAGTGAACAAACATGTCCTGTCAATACGTATTATGATAATAGTAGATTACCTTAATATCCCTGGAGGCCTGCATGTTAGCGAGCGACTGCTTGACGCCTTTGCCCACTTGCCAGATGATGGCCTCCGGCGGCTGGCCCTTGAACGGGTATTCGCCACAGAGCAACTCGTACCAGACAGTTCTGAAAAATTATTTATAACTTAACACTCCAAGAAGTAACTTATTCGCTTTTAGTGATAATATTTTAATAATAGTACGGGAAGTACTGCCACCTGTAATGTGAGGGTAGAGAGTGTGTAAGGGTGCTAGTGAAATTACAGGCACATGGGACTTGTCAACTTATGTCTCAAGGTGACACAGTGGCAGTGCCTCTCAGTGGCACTGCAACTGTTACGGACTGACTTGTAGCTTACCTTCAGGCGCACGAGTTGTTCGTCCCGTCACTTGACATTATAGAAAAAATTAAAAATCTCACCCAAAGGCGTAGACGTCTGTGGCCTTGGAAAAGGGCAGGTGCAGACTGGCGTGCGGCGTGAGCGCGCGGTTGAGCTCGGGCGCCAAGTAGCACAGCCAGCCCGGCGGGATGCCGAGGCTGTCGCCGCCGCAGCCCGCGCCCGCGCCCGACGCCGACGGCCGCCCCCCGCGCGCACTGCCACACGGCACGGTCGTAATCGTTATCGTACAACCCACTGCTGGGCACGAGTCTCCTCTAAAAAGAGGACTCGGACCATGGTTCGCCACAACGGCGAACGAAACTTACAAGTCACTGCCGACCAGACCGAGCTGCGACAGTATGCGGTTTAAATGTACAACGTTTGTTTATTGCTTTATTTAACTGCCTCCGTGGCCGAACGGTTGCCATGCCGGGATCGATTTCCGGGCCGGGAGAAATATTTGTAATTTCTCTCGTGAGTTTAATGTAATTTGTGGTTGTCTATGTGTGTATCTATGGTACCCGCAACACAGGGTTTCCCCAGTGCGGGGATATGTTGAGAGTGTGCGTTATAGTAAAGACAATACGCCGATAATTAGATCATTTTCAAATTCGATTTGTATACGTATCAAATAAGAACTTGTAGTATATTCAATCTGTCACACTTTCAAAGAAAAAATCATAATTGAGGTTTAACATACTTATTCCCGAAGCACAGTTTTGTGACGCTGAATAGCCCAAAATCCGTGATGACGACCTTCCCGTTTTCGAGGAAGATGTTCTTTGTTTTCAGATCCTTGTGAATAATGCCTCTTGCGTGTAGATATCCCATACCCTGAAAATAAAAATCAAATAAGAGATAATGAGAAACAAAATAACACACACTTTTATCAATTACTCGGGCAAAGCTTTTGACTTTGTGAACAAAGATGAATGAAACCGATCACTTCTATGTTTCGGTCAAATATAACTTCTAACTACATTACTGACAGCATTCAAGAAAATCTTCCATTTACAATTGAGATCCGTGGCACAGTCTCACGGGTCTTTTTTTCAATTGGAGTATACCTCAGGGGTCGACCATGTTGCCTATATTATTCATTACTTATGAAGTACAATAATCTAATATATTTTGTAAAAGTAAAGACTAACTATAACAATAAATAAAATGTCAAGTACGTTACGTTGTGTTTGTTGCATTTAATAAGGTTGACGAACCTGTGAAATTTGCTGAGCCACAATAACGCTCCTGTTTGCCGTGAACTTGTCTTTGCGCAGGTGGATGTGCGTGTAGAGCGTGTTGCCCTTGCAGAGTGACGTCACGATTGCCAGTCGAGGAGGCTTCATACACGCACCCATAAAAAGAACTAGATTCTCGTGACGCGTTTTGCGGAATGTTGCCACCTGTGAGAAATTAAGTTTTAAATAAGGTGCGTTAGCAAAAGCTGTGTAATTGGTTATTTCGTTTGAAAATATTATTGCTGCCTGCAATAACTATCAAATTTAGAGAATAGGTTACCGATTCGATTTGGGTACAAAATGGCAACACTAAAAGATAATGGTGGAGTTTAAAAAAAAGATGAGATACGGTAATGAATTAACGGGCGAAACGTTACTATCCAGGAAAGGTCTATATTTTTATAGGTTTTAAGGTATTGTATTTATTGCAGTTAATTTGTTACGGGTATATTGTTTAATTTTAAAATTATATGCCTCTAAGTGTCAAGATACTGATAAATAAATAGGCCCTTCCTCGTAGATCATCCAACACATATTGCTTACAAATTATATAATTCTCATTACTTGCCCGTTGTCTAGACTCGATACGAACTTAATAAAACTTGTGGTCGTTATGATATTCATGTACGAGAGAACCGCATATGGCAGCTAGCTAGCTTGACATAGTGTCTTAGGGAACATTTTCGTTCGTTCTGCGGGCCAGGCTAAGGTTAATGGGTCATATGGTCTTATGTCTACTCCTACTCAACACACACACGCACACGTACACAGCAAATGATCGAACTGATGTAGATTTTTTACCCACATTGGCCAAACAGAAATCCGAACGATAGATACATACCTCGTGTTTAAATGTGTCAAGCGGCACACTGTCATCGTGTAACGAATGTACATGCAACAGTTTAACGGCTACAGCACCGTGCCAACTGCCGCGGTACACCGTGCCGAATCGGCCCTTGCCGATCACTTCGAAGAGTTTCAACTCGTCGTATGGGATGTCCCATTCTTTCATTGATAGCTGCGGAGTTGGAGTAATTGTAGATAAATATACAACTCTTAACACGGCAGTTTTATTATTACAAAAAGTCTTCAACAAATGAACCTCCATGATACCTCCAATGATAGCACGCTAACTTAATTTTTGTGACCTGTTCTGTTTTTACTTTGTTCGTTTTTTGTTTTTTTTATTTCAAATTTTGTTTTTGTTTCTTTTTTTCACAAAGACACATAATATTACTATATAAATATGGCTCTTTACAAAAATATAGTTTTCATTGCAGGTCTCGAAATATTTTCGCGCCTGCCTCATTATAAAAATAATAAAAAAATAAAATGTTTCTATATTTAGGTATACACCCATTAATAAAAACATTATTAATTACATTACGTTACATTACATTACATAACCAATTAAATTGAATTTTATTTACCGAATATTATAATAATTAACAATTACATTAAATTGCATTGAATCCACATTAGAAATAATAGTATAACAATAATTAACTTATTTAAGTTTTAAAAATGGAGTGGTCACTTACAAAGTAGCACGCATCGCATACTGTTCTTATAATTATATTGGCCGAATCGCTCACTCTCACAAGAAAAGACCAATATCTCTTCCGTATTATGGCGAAAAAATCATCTACTCTATTCATTGCAAACATGCCAGACGCACTACACCGCCAGGGCAGCCGCATCATAGCGCGAAATGCATTATTGTACTGAACTCTGAGTCTATCAAAAGCTCGCTTAGTGTAATGGTACCGCAACTGACTAGTGTGAAGAAATTATGAAGAAATTGAAATAGATCTCATGGATTAAATCGTGGAGACAATGCTGAAATGATCGGTGATCGAAAAACTGGCAGCTTCTTCCCGCCAAAAATAATAATAGCTATCCGAGGAAGTAATGTTGTCAGCTTCCTGGGCACGATTTCTAGAAAATTTCTAGTTTAATCCGCATTAAGCATATTTGACATATATAAATATTTGTTGTTTAAAAATACTGTAATTTGTAATTTTACTCTAGAATCGTACATTTTCAAACAAATATGATAAAATAGAAATTTTAGAGTGCATTTCTTTATTAATAAGTACACTCACCCCAACACAAATACATTTGCCCAATTTATTAAAACACAATTATAAAACAATATATTTAATTATTAATTTTTTAAACGAATACGTACTTAAGAAATGAGACTCTTTTTGCGGATTTAAATCGCGTATATTTGTTTTTTCAAAAAAACACGGATGACATGGTCAACCGTGACCATGGGACCTGCAAAGGGCCCGAAACGTCGGTTTGTTTGAAAAAACAAATATACGCGATTTAAATCCGGAAAAAAAGTTTCATTTCCTATGTGTAACAATCGCGAAAACCTACGAACTAGATGAATACATACTTCTTCAAATAACTTCCGCCTGTTCAAAAAAGCACTCATTATAGCACAAAATCAAAAAGCTTTCGCTTACAAAACACAACACATATAACTTCACTTCGAAACACCAAGTTTATTGTATTAGCTTTTATACATAAATAAGTTTACGTTAGTACTGAGCGAGAGAATGAGTCAATGTATTCTGAGTATTTATCGAGTGCGTTATCTAAACGGTACCGCCACTCGTAAGTGGCGGTTATAACAAATTATCTCATATTACGGACTTGTTATTTAAACTTTTTTTTAAATAAACAAGTATACTATTCCTTTCGTTATATCTTACGAAAAAAATATATGTTAAGAAATAGTAGCTTGATTGAATGGAAGTGTTCTTTATCTACGTAGTAAACTACTAGAATATCACGACCTTAATTTTAGCAAACAAAATTTCATGATGACCTCCGTGGTCGAGTGTATTGTACACCGGTTTGCATTTTAGGTTTTTTTAGGTTTGGTTTGCAGTTCGATCCCGGGAGGGTCAATGTAGAAAACTAACTTTTCTATATTGTCTCGGGACTGGGTGTTTGTGGTACCTTCGTTGTTTCCGTTTTCCATAACACAAGTGTTTTAGTTACTTACTTTGGGATCAGAGCAACTATGTACGTGATGTTGTCTAATATATATTTATTTATTTATTCCGTAATATTTTCATTGTATTTTTCACAATTCTAGAAATATTCGAAATAGTATTCCATAGCATTTACGTTAATATGAAATGAGCAATCCCTAGTGTGTCTTGCTCGTTCTTCACGGGGAAGTCAGCACTATGGAATGATTATTTGACTTTTATATTGAAATTATAATTATTATATTGAACATCATGTTTTACTACCATGACATTCATATATTTTTTTGTGAAAATACTCCACTAGTTTATTGCTATTATTGACATAACGATCGAAAGAAAAACTCCTTCGGCCCGGCTCAACTTGAACCAGCTACTTTTCACCACACCGGTGCTATTAATTACATTTTATTTATAACCTTTTTTACTCAAGCGTATGTGTGAGTTTCAATAATTTTTTAACCGACTTCCAAAAAGAAGGAGGTTCTGAATTCGAGTGTTACATATAAAAATATGTATGTTACGCGATAATTTATAAATTTGTGAACCGATTATGATGATTCTTTTTTGTTGGTAAGAAGGTACCTTAGTTACCTTAGTAGTATTGCTGGCCATGGAAACAAAGTCCTTCAGCCGAAAACATAAACGTTTAATTATATTTCTGTAAATATGGCCACCACAAAGAGGATAGGCAATTTGAGGCGGCGTGCTTGGATTGACTCGGGATTCCTTAAAAACGGGCCGATACGGGTATTTTAGTTCGAGATTCGTATAATTTCGCGTTTTAATCTTCGACTAAGGCACAATAGCACTATCCTATTCCACTTTAAACTAGATTTCACAAAATAATTGAAAGTCAAAATAAAAACGACACTTTTCCCTCCAAAAGGCCCAGAGCGAATCAAGAAAATATTCCACCTCTAAGGGTGGCCAACTAAAGGATGAATCCGGTTTCGCGCACTTTCCGGTAACTGATTACAATAAAACTCGGCAAATAGATGTAATTCCACAAAAATTTTTAGGTTGGTTTTTTAGAACTCTGTACAGAGATTATTGAGTGTTCCAGTTTGAACTCTGGCAGAATATTAGCAAGGACAATGCTCTAGTTTGTTTTTAATTTGTACTATCTTGGTGATGGCAAAAAAATAATCAATTTTTTATATTGCTTACGCTATTCTGTCTAGGCCATCGCGAGTCGTGTTTGTTGCCGAGGTCGAGGGAGTCTGCTCTAACGGCGCCACCGCTGTCTGTTGAACCTGAGCCGCTCAACGAGACGCCACGCGAGCTATCTGTTGGTACAGAGAGAAATACAGTTACAAAATGCATTCGTTTGCCTCGTCGAGTTTTAGGAATAAGAACGAATGAAATTGAAAGAGAGAATTAATTCATTGCACGTCAAAAATGTAAATGGCAACTCTGAGCAGTATAATAGAATAATAATCTATAGTCTATCTTTTTTGAAGACGGAGTAAAATGACAATTGCAGGGTTGCCAGTTTTCATAAAATTTTAAATAGTTATGTAGTTGTTGTCGATAGTCTTATCGATAGATTGTGAAAGATAAAATTTTGCCAAAAATGACTGAATTGTAAATGTTATGACGTTACTATGACTACTAATTGCGTTATTGCCATCTTTATTATAATTTTGACTGTTGGCCTACTAGTATCGAAATAAATTTTTATTCATATACATTTTAACAAGAATATGTAGATTTGATTATCTAAATTGAATTGAAATGGAAATCTTTAAAATACGTCTTCTTTTTGTAGTTTTCATAGACATCGTTCTAAATACAGTGTATGTATGTACGAACTTACAAAAAATGACATTTCAAATGACCCTGTGTTCAGTAATTGGACGAATGATACGCACAGGACTATTTTTGCTACTTATCCCATAAGCATGACCAACATTCAATCGATAGTCGATAGAATGTTTATCGACTGCAATCACTAGCTGCTTTACTCCGTCTCCAAAAAAAGACAGACTATAGGTAACAATTTCTTTCAGGCCACGTTAGTATTTAAAACAAGATTCTAATAATAAGAATGGTATATCATTTAATTTTTTTTAACTGCAAGCGTGTAGTAAAGCTGGTAAGTTTATCGACTAAAGAGGCGAATAAAAAAAAATGGATCTTTTCGATCGAGGATTTGAAGGTTAATTTTCATCAAAAGACAGAAGTCTACAGAAGATAAACCTCGTTTCGATTTAGCTGTTTAACCTTTTCTATTTGTAAATCTCGTGTTGAAGGACGAACTTGGGCTGTTGTCTTTATCATAAGTCACTAGTATTGTTGCGCAAAAAGTATTTTTAAAGTGTTCTTACCACTTTTAACACTGGATGTGATATCTTCCTTGGTATCGGGGACGACTCTAGCGGGAGATTGCACTGTCGCGGTGTGGTTTGGACTGGAAACGGGTGGCTTCACTTCAGGAAAGTGGAACTGCTGCTTGCTGGGCGTGTGGACATGGTGGGGATGCGGATGGGGGTGGGGGTGCGCGTGCGGGTGGTGGGGCGTGGGCGGTGCGGCCAGCGCGGGCGACGACGGCGTGGAGCTGTTACAGGATGACGTGTTGGACGACGAGTCAGGCCCGTGCTGCAATACACTTTCCTTTTACTAATGTCCAGAGTACATTGAAAACGTTACTACTGGTGTTAACTGCGTATTTTTTTTATGATACTAAGTAAAGGGAGAAACAAGTCGTGCGCCTGGTGGTAAGCGACACGCCTGTTCATAACAGTTGCAGTGCAGACCTTAAATCGCAAAGATCTGCCACTGCGCCCGTCACCCTGAGACATAAGTTGAAAAGTCCCATGTGCCTGTAATTTTACCAGCAACTTTCAAAACCGAAATGCAGAAAAATTTCTTTTGACAGAATTTATTTTATTGAATATCATGACTTTTACTAATGCCTGATGCATATATTTTTTTGTGAAAATGCTCCACTATGATTATTCATACAAAAATCGAACATTTAGAAAAAAATCTTCTTGAACGCACGAGAATGCTGCACCGTAGCATTGCTCTTACCAACTGAGCCACAGGTAAAGTTACTGAGTTGTCGAAATTCTCCTGTGTGTTTTTGGTTATAGATCTTTGATATCAGGACCCCGAATCAGAACTCTTCGATATTTTAACCGAATCGTTCCATTATAATAATAATAACACACACACTCAACATAGCCCCGCACTAGGGAAACCCTGTGTCGCGGGTGCCATGGACACACATATAGACAACCACAAATTACACAAAAACTCACGAGAGAAACAAATGTAGGTCATACAAATATTTCTCCCGGCCCGGGAATCGAACCTGGGACCTCTGCGTGGCAGTCCGGCATGGTAACCGTTCGGCCACAGAGGCATTGGATGTCGTTCTCGAATCGAAGAGCGCTTTCCGAGCTATTCAGAACATTCGAGTTAAAACTTTCGATTCGGACTCGGATACGATATCGTTATCCAACAACGTTTATGGAGTTAGTCGGCGAGTATACATTATAAGAAAAATTAAAACCTTTTATACAGATTCCTAAGACTTTAAACGCCTAAAATATAGGAATGCATTAGTCTTGCATTAAAATAAATTAATAAAATTGAACCAAATCCAGATTTTATTCAAAATAATATAAGACTTTCATATTACGTTCTTGCTTTGTAAACAATAGGACGTTCGGTAACTTTCATTCGATGACTATGTTCTGTTCTGAATAACGGTTGTAGCTTTTGCCGGTCGAGAAGTACGAGTATTCGTACGGGTGTGACGTCATTTCGGTTCGATTTCGAATACGACAGTTTGACGTTCGATTCGCTTGTTGTGAATAAAAATGAAAAGAAATCCTACGATATCTAATCGAATCAGTCGACAACAGTCATCGTAAGGTTCTGAATCGACTTGCTGGTGAGAGATTTTTGAAACCTCAACGGGTTGAAACAATTTTCCTATGTGTTCTGTATTTGTATTATCACATCGAGTATATAACCAGAAATCGAGACAAAATAAGGGCCATACATAAATATCAACTCTCATTTGCATTGAAATATAGACAGCACCAACAACTGACCTGTGTGTACGCTCCGTATATTCCAAAAAATTTCGGTATTTATTGTAATAAAGATAATATCTCTAACAATAGCGTGCTGTTCCATTCTGTAGTGTGGGGAAAAACAGCAAAACATCTAACTACAAAACAAACAGATAGAATTTTAATCGGTAATTAAATATATAATTTTGCAATTTTCGTTCATAATAGCAAAGTTCAAGTTAACTGGTCGATTTGAAGTGAAACAATTGACGACACCCGTCAATGGGCGCGAATTTGTGTTGGCCAATCGGAGCGCAGTCGTCACAGTAATGATCTGGCAGAATAGTTTTCAAACAAATTAAATGACATTTCGTCTCTTATTTCTGGTTATATACTCGATGTATTATCATAAACAAAACTAGTTATTTCACAAAAAAAAACTCAAAAATAAAAATGCTCCACTAGTTTGTTGCTACTATTGGTACAAAGATCACACAGCAAAAAAAATTCATCGACCTGTCTAGAACGCTTCACGATTTTGCGAGTTAGCCATGCGAAACAGCATATCGAAGGCAATTTTCTTTGTGTTTATTCGGTCTTTGTATCAATAATAACAACAAACTAGTAGGATATTTATTTGACAGTTTCCAAAACAAAATTACTTTGAATTTGGTCAGTTTATATTACATGTTTAAAACGTACCGAATATGCAGCATGCACCGTGGGGGGCTGATGATGTCGTCTTCTCGTTAAAGAAGATAGGAACCCAACGCGATTCGCGACCGGAGACGCGAAGTACCCGCCACCCCCTAAACAAACAAAAAATTATACGATCAACAAAATTGCATGGTCAACAAAATTACATGGTTAACAAAATTACACGGTCAACAAAATTGCACGGTACCAAAATTGCACGATCAATAAAATTTGAATTGTATTCGGAAGGAGGATTTAGCGGTTGCTGTTCGGGTTGGATAAATTATCTATAGAAACTTACAAAAATTACCATTTGACATTAAAAAAGAAGAATAAGTCAAAATGTTACTTACAGGATGTGTTCCTATAAAATCGTTTTTGCAGAGGCATGCGAGTTTGTACATACATTTTTAAGTGTTCGTTACTGTTACAGGCTATAGCAGAAAATCGGCAAGGACTACGTTCTCCACAGTCCTATGTTCCGGATTCATTGACCCATTTGACACGTTTATTTTTTGTTTTTTTTTTAACTGGAAAATTATAAAACTCACCATCTTTGTGAAATTTCTCTTTGAACACGTTGACAAACTCTGGTGGTAGACCGCATGATGGAGGAACTTTACTTTCACAATCCCTGCAAATGAAAGATTGTTTTTTTTTGTCATTAGTACTTTAGTACCATCGCCGCTTGATATTACAATTTGAAAATTGTGATATAGAAGCGGATTCATAAATTGCATATGTACAATACAGGCATTGACTTACAATTATATGGACGTCGGGTCCGCGCTAAAAACTGTCCGAACTTATAGGGCGTTAAAATCGTACACAAGAGCGTCATTCACGCTTTAGTTTTCGTTTGTTCGACTGACAGCGAAGCAAGCAAAATTAGACAGTACTGCGATGACATTACAATTTAAATTCAACGTTTTAGCTTTTTCATATTCCTTTACATGTCACTATGTTTAAATAGGTAGACTTGGGACATTTTTTTCGTGGTTTTTGTATTAGACCCGTCGTCCATTTATTTGTAAGTCAATGAATACAGGTGATAGATTTTATAGTCTCAGCTTGTGATATAATGAATGAATTTGATAAAAAACATTTTAAATTTTTTAATTTTAAACAGATGCTTGCCTGTCTACAATTTCACCCCATATTAAGCGACGAATATAAATATAAGCTAAAGTGGTACGCGTTTGTCCAAAGAAATCCCTATTCAGTCTAGCCTAGAACAATTTGGTATTGTAGTTTTAAAAAAATACATGATATTTAGTTTAATTGGTGATATTCTGTTTCTAAGGTTTATAACACTCGGGAGATTTGTAACACTCGATGGTTTGTAACATTCATAGGTTTGTAACACTCGAAGGTTTGCAACACTCGAGATATTTTTAGGAATCGGTAATTTGTAACACTGGGGAGATTTTTAATAATCGTAGAGTTGCGACAGTTTCTGCTAGTGCATAGATTCCTATAACCTAGAACACATTTGAAAAAGGGTGCGGTGTCTGCAGTACCTGTGACACTTGAACTTGCACTCCTTGCACTTGAGCCCGGCCCCGAAGAGCATCTGCTTCTCGCAGTAGTCGCAGGTGGCGATCATGTTGAACTTCTTGGTGAAGCGGTGCGCGATGTCGTGCGCCATGCAGCGCCCCACCGTGGGCGTGCGCGGCGACCGCGGCGCGCCCGAACAGTTGCTCGCCGCGCCGCCCGTCGAACACGCGTTGTTCTAGACAATTTTTACGTCACTCTTCTATACTTACCCATACGACTTCAATCGAAATGTAGTATTTGTAATGAAATCAGGTGATGGAGGCCAGGAGACTCATAACACAGGTTTAACCTAGTTTAAGCTCCCGTCTCCCAACCTTTTGCCTACGATTGTTTATAAGTTAGTACCTAGACTACATTAAGTGAGAAAATGAACGATTTATTATTATTATCGTAAAAGAAGTCTTATTCGGTTATCTTGCTTTTTCATTTTAGGTCTAATTTGAAAATAAAAAAATTGACAACTGTAATTTTTTTCATTAACTTGTTTTAATTTGTTATAATTATTAATACAAAGATCGAACACTCAGAAAAAATTGTTTTAATTTCCTTTTATATTTTATAAATTTCTTCACTACATGGAATTTCTTTGAAAATTTGATTTTTAAACTTTCAGCCATTTCCGCTTTGTCATAATAACATCTAAAAAAAGCATTTTGTTTCATTTAGACATGGAATATATAACCAGAAATAGAGACGAAATAAGGGCCATCCAAGGTAAATGGGATAAACAGCAAAACTTCTAATTACAAAACAAACAGAATTCCATATTAAATATGTGAATATTAATATTGTCACAGTAATGATTTGGCAGAATAGTTTTCAAACAAATGCTCGATGAATTTAGATTATTTTCAACGAGTGTTAAAAGTTAATATAATAGCTACTTTACGTTTAATTCTTATTAATTTTAATATAAACGTTATTATTTCATATTTTCACTTTCATTTTGTTGCGCTAAATGTGCCGATGCGTGTATTATTACGTATAATGTTTACTTTTAAACTAATCCCTCGCAGTTATGACTATCTACCCTCCTTACTTTTGTGTCTTGTTTTAAAATATTGTGGCTTTTTATCCCTAGAAAATTTCCTTTGACTGTTTTTGTTCTTTGTTGGGTTGTTTTTTGAACACTGGAGCTATACTGGATAATGTAATTTATTAATATACCAAAATGGAACGTAAACAATCACATTGTGTTCTACCAATCATATTTTATAATTGGTACTTAGCTATTGTTATTTTGAGGCAACGCACTTGATGGACGTAAGACTTAGGGTCGTATTCCAGAACTCTACTCAACGCTCAAGTCAGGATTTGAGCAGACTTGAGTATGATTTCAAGCACTGTAAATACGACTCTAATGGCAAGGACTTGAGTATGATTTCTAGTGCTTTCAATCATACTCAAGTCCTGACCTGAGCATTGAGTAGGGTTCTAGATTACGACCCCTAGCTACCCATAGTACAGGGAATCCTAGTAAAGTTAAACTTACGAGGTTGTAAATATATGCGACGTTGTTGCCAGGCCGGTGGAGTGGCGTATGTTCTGATTCGGTGTCGTGAGGTGATGCGGGTGGACTGCCTTCTAGAGTGCCCACCGCTGATGATTGACTGTTGTCGCTACTGAAAGCATATTGCTCGTTAATTATTGTTCGGTAAACTAATAACGTTACTATCTACATGACACTGCCTTACTTTCTCAAACTCGTATCTTATAAAGAGTGATTATTCAGGAGATGATAAAGCTTTCTATTTATTTTACATTTCTTATCTATATGATATGAAGTCTGCCTGCAAAATTTATATAATCAACCCTTTTATTAATACAAAGATCGAACACTCAGAAAAAATTCCTTCGATCCGGTCGGATTCGAACCGACGTCTTCTTGCATACCGTGCCACACGCTATACCAACTAAGCCACGGAACGAACCAACGGACCTCACGAATTCTTCTATGTGCTTGCGTCGTGTCTTTGTACTTGGTCTTTCAACGACTTTTTAGTCGTAGCGCCATCTATGAGAAATCTAGTGCAGATTTATCACCCAGTTAGTACCTTTACAGCTACCAGTCCTGGCGAGAGATGTCGCTATTCACTGTATTAATTAAGTTTTTATTGAATTGATATTCAATTATTTTTTGTGAAATTACTCCACTAGTTTGTTATAATTATTAATACAAAGATCCAACACTCAGAAAAAATTCCTTCGATCCGGTCGGATTCGAACCGACGTCTTCTTGCATACCGTGCCAGACGCTATACCAACTAAGCCACGGAACGAACCAACGGACCTCACTTAACTCAAATAATTGAATATCAATTCAATAAAAATTTAACTTTTACGTATCTTAAAGTTGAAAAAGTAAGGCGACGATGAGCATCACCAATCCATTAACACCCTTGTCCTTCAAAACCGGAACGCAGTAATGTGGGCTGGACGAACTCTTGTACAAGGAGCGCTATTGCAAGTAATAATCATTCATCCCCTAGTTTGCCACCCTCGAGGTGGAATAATTTCTTCAAATTTAACTGCGACCACTACCGAGGTACCCTCTTTCCAACAAAAAAAGAATCATCAAAATCGGTTCACCAATACCGGAGTTATCGTGTAACATACGTATAAAAGTCAACGCTCAACTATCTCCTCGCCACCAACCCTGAATGCGACTTGTTTGCGGATGGATGGTCACTGTTATTGTTAAGATGCCTACGCTATTGTGAAGGCGATGCTTGAATGGTACTTAATCTTGTTGTGTTTATTAAGTTGTTATGTTAGTAATGTATATTTAATTATTGTAATTGGTGTGTCCGTTATAATTAAAGTAAATAAATAAATTTAGAAAATAATAATAATAATAATAAAAAACATACAATCGAATTGAGAAACTCCTCCTTTTTCAAGTCGGTTAAAAAACGAGTGTAATAACGAAGCGGACGATAAACGCAAAAAAAGCGATTCAAAAGTTACCAGCGGCGTTAATATAAATTTTGTAGCAGTTGAGCTCTTTGTAAAAAAGTTCGCCCAATGAATTACTGCTACCTTACCTATTTCAGCCGCCAACCAGGAATGTCAGCATTACTTTGTTCCGATTTTAAAGGGTGTTAATGAAATTAGAGGCACATGGGACTTGTCAACTTATGTTTGGGTCATGGACGCAGTGGCAGTACAACTGTTATGAACAGGCGTGTCGTTTGGTATTATAAAAAAAAAGTCAAAATCAATATGGACACATTACCTGACATCAGACGCGTCCGGTCTGACGGAGAGCTGCGACTCGTGCGAGCGTGATTTAGTGAGAGCCGCGGGCGCAGGCAAGTGGGCGTTCTGCTTGCGTTTGCTTACGGGCGTTGTCGGGGATTTGCCACCTGGTAGACCAAAAGTTGTGGGTTTAAAAATTGCCATTGTTTGTTTCGGGAGCGTGAAATATCACCTGTAATATTTTCATCATCATCAACGCATTATACGGCCCAGTGCAGGGCACGGATCTCGTCTCAGGTGAAGGTCTTATTTTAGTTTTGCCATAAGGCATTCTCCAGATATTTCAAAACAAATATTAGAGATAAAAAATGTGAACAAATTTCCATTTCCGTAGAGTAATTCCTAGAGTTTCTTACATGTTCTCTTCAGTGAATCTGCTTTACGAATGTGTAGTAGAGTTTATCAATGCGACGATTTCAAATGCAATTTGTGTTTGAAATTGCAGAGGAAAATATTTAATGTTTGACAAATTATTGCTATTTTTATTTGGTTACAAAATTAGTACGGACAACGGCACATCAGACTACACATTTTTGTTCGAAAATCGCCTCCATTGCAACGGAACAAGATACGTCAATGTGTAGCTGGATGTGCTGACGTGTGTACAACAGTAAAAAATAATACAAAATATAAATATTTTCAGTTTTATTTAAATTATAGTTTATTTAAATTAATCTTTATTAAATGTAGTATTTAATAAATTCCACGATTTCCAGTATGTTTACACATCATTTCAAAGGTAAGCAACTTACACTACTTATTTAAAAATATATTTGAACTTGAATATGATGAATTTTATATTCTTTCCGTATCTATAGACAAGAAAATATTCAACGTTTTCTAAATTTATTTAGCTGGGAATGTAAAGCGTAAATTCTGTCACCTTTTTTCCCCTGCGGGGTGGAGTGTTGCGAATCAAATCCGCAGTCAGTTGGCAACGAGGCCCTGGAGGCCCTGACGCGCGTCCTGGGGGACCCGCGGCCGTGTCTCTCCCACGAGTCCCAGTACAGCTGCATCTCGGCGCTTGCCTCGCCGCGGGCCAGAGCCTCTGTACGAAAAATACGTTTTTACAATAAATAAATTGTGTATATTTTAAGGTGATGGCGCTAGTGATCTACAAGCACCATTGATCGCCACCTTTTTTTTAAAATTAATTTGTAATTAAACTTAGGACTAAATAGTTTTAAAGTTAAGTATACGTATTTGCGTGTAGCACTGCTGGGCACGAGTCTCCTCTAAAAATAGGATTTGAACCATAGTTCGCCACAACGACGAACGAAACTTAAGGGTCGTATTCTAGAACTCTACTCAATGCTCAAGTCAGGATTTGAGTATGGTTTAAAGCACTCGAAATCATACTCAAGTCCCTGCCATTAGGGTCGCATTTCCAGTGCTAGTGTTGCCAGTGCAATCCTGACTTGAGCATTGAATAGAGTTCTAGAATACGACCCTTACAACCCACTGCCGACCAGACCGACATTATGCGGTTTAAATGTACAACCATTGTTTATTGCTTTATTTAACTGTCTCCGTGGCCGAACGGTTACCATGCCTCGCAAAGGGCTCACGTTCGATTCCCGGGCCGGGAGAAATATTTGTATGGCCTACATTTATTTCTCTCGTGAGTTTATGGTTGTCTATGTGTGTGTCCATGGCACCCGCGACACAGGATTTCCCTAGTGCGGGGCTATGTTGAGTGATGGTTGAGTGTGTGCGTTATTTTTAGTATTACTTTGGTGGCATGGCTTACTGGGCTGCGATCGTAAGTATCTTATTTCGTTGTCATAAATACATCTGTAATAATACGATAACATAATATAGACACGACAACAGCATTCGGATATATTCGAAGATACCAAAGTTTCCCGATGTGCAATGTATACGACCTAATACTGTAATAATTATAATACCTCTTTTATGATACACACTATAACAACATAATCTTTCTTGAGGATTATGTCTGTTAAGTCCCGAATTTATACACTATTAAGCCCCGAATTTAAACTCAATTAATGTCTGAAAATTGTGAAAGAAGAAGATCAGTGTATAACAACGCGTACACACTCATGGCCCCGCACTTGGGAAACCCTATACCGCTTAAAATATCGATCATTGGTACCATTCACTCTAGAGAACGTTAAGAAACTCAAAAATCATCAATTTCAATGTCCTTTTTTGGGAAGATGTTTAATTGTACAATAATTAAACTGTTAACTCTAACGAATTGAATATGTGAGTGAATCTGGTGCTAGCGTTTTTCTATTTTTAATTGTTTAAACTCATTCACATTAATCGATTATAGTTTAATCTATAATGTATATTGTTTGTGTACCTTAACTAATTTTAAATTTCTCATTTTTTGGATTTTAGAATTCATTTAGAAAAATATAACTCAATACGAATTACAATTAGGCTCAGAATGCCCTGTCTCCTTTACACAGTTATCTGTAAAAATTTACATTGATAACTAAGTGTCCAGTCAAGAGCCACAGTAAGTCCCTATCTGAATGTGATTGTAATGCCTGAATGATAGAATTTTTTTTTTATTATCATTAGACATAACTTGTAGATAACTATCATCAAAGTCAGCTGTGGCCATAGTACGGTAAAGGGTCCAAAATGTCGGTTTCTTAGAAAAAAACAAATAATGCGATTATACATATATAAAAATATTAGCAATTATTTTACAGCACACATCACAGAGAGTGTGCTATGGAATTACACGATTTAATTCCGCCTTCCCCTTTCCAACACCGGGGGATTAGACTTAGGCTTGGGTTCCACCCCTATGTTGTGGATATTCCAAAGATAATAATAATAATAATAATAACGCTCACAATCAACATAGCCCCGCACTAGGGAAACCCTGTGTCGCAGGTGCCATGGACACACACATAGACAACCACAAATTACACCCAAACTCACGAGAGAAATAAATGTAGGCCATACAAGTATTTCTCCCGGCCCGGGAATCGAACCTGGGACCTCTGCGTGGCAGTCCGGCATGGCAACCGTTCGGCCACGGAGGCAGAAAGATTCGCACGAAGCGTTACGCTTCCACATTTATATGGCGAACTGCTATGGAGTGGAATTCCCTGCCTGCAGACTTATTCCGTGAAGGTTATAACTTGGGCCTTTTCAAGACGAGACTGAATAGGCATTATTTAGATGTGCATGCTCCATTGTCGATCACATAGTCACTTTCCACTAGGTAAGATGGAGGTCAAATGCGCAATTATATATCTAATAATAAAAAAACCTTATACATAGTGTCATAAGTACCTGTATAAGCTCGTAGCCGCTGCATAGCGCGACACAACCGCCGCTGTTCTTCTTCTCTCGCGCCAGCCAGCAACGCCCGTAACTCGTGATCTGAGCGCTCGCGCAGGGCTTCCAGGGAGCTCACGCGTGTGCATACAGCCTGATGACAATATTCGAGAATGGATTTGGTGTAAACAAAAACAGGAGAAAAAACCGGAACACGAGGAGTAATATGTTCTTGTACTTCTACATGTAGTATTAACATTCTTGTACAGAGTCAAGAGTACGTCAAGCTTGACACTTAAAATTTAAATCCAACTCTATGCCGCTTACGATAAGAATGGTCCAAAGTACAAAGTGTCAAGCTTGACGTGCTCTTAACTGTACCTGCTAATGTACTGTTACTTATATTTCTAAAATAGTACTCTAAAAAAATAAAAGATCTGTTAAATAAACATGGTTCACCACAAACATTCCTTCATTATACCCAGTACCCCAGTACCCCATACGACGTACCATTCCTTTCTTGTGCGTCTGACGCACCCCGGGCAACAATTACACCGATTGGTAAACCCTTACCACGATGGCAAGCATTATAGTGTATGCCATCGATAAGATAAGAATACGAATTCTTTTTAACCGACTTCAAAAAAAGGAGGAAGTTCTCAATTCGACTGTATGTTTTTTTTTGTATGTATGTTACGCGATAAAACCGGTATTTGTGAATTAATTTTCATGATTCTTTTTTAGTTGGAAAGAGGTTACCTCCATAGTGGTCCCATTTAATTTTGAAGGGTGGCTGTCCACGCATGAAGATTCATTTTTATAAATAGCGCCTAAATTTTAGTATAATGTGCAATTATTTTAATGATGATTAAATAAATAATAAATAACGCACACACTCAACATAGCCCCGCACTAGGAAAACCCTGTGGCGCGGGTGCCATGGACACACACATAGACAACCACAAATTACACCCAAACTCACGAGAGAAATAAATGTAAGCCATACAAACATTTCTCCCGGCCCGGGAATCGAACCTGGGACCTCTGCGTGGCAGTCCGTGGCCGAATGATAACCGTTCGGCCACGGAGGCAGTTAAGTTAAGTTATTGATGATATGATTTTGCTATTCTTTAATTCAAGGCGTTTTTCTCTCTCAATATACTTTGAGTAGTGAGAACCGATTTTTATTATCGCCTGTGTCAAGTCCCGTACAGTGGCGAACTAGGGAATGAATCCGGGTTTGCGCACTTTCCGGTAACCGATTTCCATAAAACTTGGTAATTATATGTAATTCCACGTACTTTTGAGGTCGGTTTTTTTAGTACTCTGTACTGAGATTATTTCCAATTATTATCTGACTGTCCACTGTCCAAACCTGTAAAAACCAGTGTCCCTGGCGCTCGACCCAAGCAAAATGAACCGTATTAGTACGGGTAAATTTTTATTTCGAGCTGAGGTTGTATCATAATCAAATAATCATTTATTCTATAGGTTAAATTTTTACACTTGAAAACGTCAATTTTAAGACACTTTAGGCTACTGCTCGTTCACTACGCTGACCTCCCTGAGAAGAATGAGCAACAAACTCTAGGGATTGCTCTTTTCAAATAAACTTAAATGCTATGGAATACACTTTGAATCATAATTGTGTAGAATCTAGACTCTTGTTGTCTTTCCATACTTCTTTATCTAAAACATACTGTTCAATTTTAATATGACTTTTCAATTAAAATACTTTTAATGGAAATGACAATCTTAATATATTCTCCGGAATCTTATTGTAAAAACGTATACAGTTCCCCATAAAAGAATCGTTTACCTTAGTTACACAAAATCGTGGTACCATGATTTTGGACTTACTTGTAATGTTAATATTATGAATATCTCCTTTCTTAATGAAATAATGTATATTTTTTATATTTTTTCAACTCTTAAGGATGAGGTGAACAAAGAGGATGGAACAAAATTGTAATATTATGACATAATATGAAAGTTGATCAAAAGTTTAATTATTTCAATTCTTTGTTGCATTTACCATAATGTTACTAGGATGACAATGGCTTAAAGCTAAGGTAGCAGCGCATTATGGACCCTGTAGGGCACTGCAAATTATATTTAAAGAGAGGAGAATTTACAATATTTAGAATATTTATGGGCCCAGTTGGACATGACAATATTTTCTCAATTATATACAAAAGTAATTATTATAGTATATTCACATTTTGCATTTTATAATACCTAGTTACTATGTATAATAATTAGTATCCATTACATTTACCTAATATAGAAATATTTTCCGATAACATTGTTTTACATACTATTTAATTAATTAAGTTTAAATTTAATTAGTTGTCGTAAGGAACATACCTCGATAGCCTCCTGGCTGAGGCCGACGACCCTCAACCATTGTGGTAAGCATGGCACGGACGCGAGCTCCCGTTGCAACTCCTCGCCGAACCGGGCTTTGGTGACCAGCTGGCGGGAGAAGTGTTTCACCAATTTGCCCTGAAAGAAGTATTTACCTTTTGAATAATTATCCGTAAGAAAGGATAGGTCAAAAGAAGTCAGGGAAAGAAGAGCGCTGGCAACTGCCAGCAACTAACTAGTTGCAATATGTTTAAAACATACTGTTAAGTCTTCTACACGTGTAGTCTCTGAGCCAGCTTTCAACAAAGAACTATCAGCGTCCTTAGAGTCCAATACAATAACGGTTTCAGGATGCTGATAGGGCTACCGTGGGCCTGCAACGCCTCGGGCATGTTTGCGCAGTATAGGACTGACGACTTTTATGCTATAATGCGCAAAAAGACTGCCCCTATGCTCTGCAGGCTGCGGGCCAGTCGCAACTACATCTTGATAACTGTGGCGGCAAGGTATGACTCGTCAAGCGTGCGCCATTTTACCCAAGTGCTGATCGGCGGAATTTACTTTTCCTGTTGTTCAGGCACTAATTTATTTATTTAGACGTAAGTACTCTAACACAGATACAAGAATTCTCTTGTTATTAAAGAAAATTTGGACCATTGTAGTCTGATTTAGGAATACATTAAATTAAAATTAAAAGGGTGAAAAGACTAATGAGAGTTGAGGAAGCGAAAGAGGTAGGTCAGGAACGTAGCAATTGGAGGTCCGTAATCTCAGTCTACCCTAGTGAGTGACAATTATCATAACTACTATATCTAAAGTAGTTGATTGGTTTGCTGTTAATAACCTACTCCTTAATGAGAAAAAAAAACAAATTGTGTGAAATTTACATTACCCAATGTTTCAGAGACGGTTACAAACATTGTAGTTAGAAACGAAAAATTGAATTTATAGATTTTGTTGTTGATGTCTAGGTATAACGTTAGATGCTAAATTGCAATGAGGTCCCCATGTCAGTAGGTTATCAAAACGGCTCGGCTCTGCGGTGTACACGATTAAAAAAATACGGAAACTTTCAGATGTCAAAACTGCTAGATTGGTGTACTTCAGCTACTTTCACAGTCTAATGACATACGGCATTTTGCTTTGGGGTAATGCCGCCGATATCAATAAAATCTTTGTCCTGCAGAAACGTGCGGTTAGGGCAATTTACAATCTGGGCCCTAAAGTATCTTTGAGAGATAAGTTTAAGGAAATTAACATTCTTACACTAGCCTCACAGTACATTTATAAAATGTAATTAATTTTAAGAGGAATAGTAATTTCTTTATGAAAAATAGTGACAGACATAACATTAATATGAGGAATAAAAATAAACTAGCTGTTCTTGGTAGTCGTCTTCACAAAGTCACAAATTCATATAAGGGGCACTGTAATGTGTTATAGAAGCATATGCTTCTATAACAAGATTCCAGTTGATATACAAAATTTGCCTTTTACGAGGTTTAAAACTATAGTGAAACAAAAACTTTTTTACTAAAGGTAAATTAATAAAACGCTCACACTCAACGCTCACACTCAACATAGCCCCGCACTAGGGAAACCCTGTGTCGCGGGTGCCATGGACACACACATAGACAACCACAAATTACACCCAAACTCACGAGAGAAATAAATGTAGGCCATACAAATATTTCTCCCGGCCCGGGAATCGAACCTGGGACCTCTGCGTGGCAGTCCGGCATGGTAACCGTTCGGCCACGGAGGCAGTTAAATTATACAACTTCTGCATACTTGGACGACAAAAATCTGTGGTAGTAACCCAACTCATGGAGGTAATTTCGATCTCTGATGTTTCAAAACAAAAAAAATAAATATTGTAAATGTTGAATGCGTACAAATGTTATTTACAAAGAGCAACCCCTAGAGTTTCTTGCTCATTCTTCTCAGGGGAATCTGCCTTACGAATGAGCGGTAGAGTTTAACCAATATGACGATTTCAAGTGTAATAATGCTTACCTATGAAATACAGATTATTTTGAATTTTGAGGTCTAGACAAACCCACTAATAGATAATAAAGACGAAACCGGGAATCGAACCCGAGAACCCATTTAGCGCTTACAGTGCTTTCAGCTAGGCCTTGGAGATGAACAAATGATATGATGATGATCATCGAATTACTCTTTTAATTTTTTTCTTCCGTTGTTGCTTTTATAAGTAAGGAAGGAAATTTGCTGAAATCTCTAATAGAACGCCATCCAGCATAGTCATCCAGCTACCTGAATAAAAAACCTTCACAAAAGATTTTGTTCATTGCAAAAGTCATCCTATTGGGGCTTTCTCAACTGGAATGTCGACCTTGAAAATTTCTTTGTCAGTATAGCAGTAGAGCTCTTTGTGAGAGAGTTCATCTAGAGAAGTTCTGCCACCTTGCCTATTTCTGCCGCCAAGCAGTAATGCGAGCATTACTGTTTTCTAGCTTGGAATGGTAAGGGTGCTGGTGAAATTACAGGTACATAAGACTTGTCAACTTTTGTCAGGGTGACAGGGGTAGGGGCAGTGTCACTCAGATCTTTGTAATTGAAAGGTAGTGGTACTGCAACTGCTAAGAACAGGCGTGTCGCTTAATACCAGGCGCTCGACTTGTTCGTCCTGTCACTTGTCACAAATATTATTAAACCCTATTGAAAAGTATAGCCTTTAAAACTTACATTAGACCATAGTAGAACAACAATGAATCATCCTAATTGCCTATTAAAATAATTAACACAACAATAACACATTCCATTTCATTGTCTCTCTTATAATTATTATTTTATGACGATGACACTTGCAGTTATAGATTGGTTTGTTTATAAACACGCTTATCAAGTCATTGGTGTAATTGTTTATCTTATGCATTTCTCTTGGTATGGTCAGGCAATATTGATTGACAGTGAAATATATTTATTGACTAAAAATTTACAAGTTACTATGAACCGTAAAGTGGTTATATTAGAATTAACTTTAATATAATATGGCAAGTGTTATTAAATTACTTCCTCATTTACTTGTTACAAATTCAAAATTCCTGATTGACGACGAAATCATCAAACACTGTAGAGAGGCACTGATGTTGAGTTAGCCTTCAAATGTTGACTAAAGCTCATACAGTCCAATCATAAGCTAAGTAAAATCAAATTTTTAATTATGAACTCACTGAAGCAGAATCTGTTAAAAAGAAACTAACAACTTTTTGACAATTAATCTGCTAAAGAATGTTTCATTTACAAATTTTTCATTATTATTTTGTAACCATCAGTCCTTGAAACTTATACAGGTCTGTGGTATATTTAATTGTAGTTTGGAATAGTCATGTGACGCGTTTCTTCCTTAGTCATTATTTAGCTGATTGTGTTCTACTGATTCAACTTTCTAGTATCCTTTACTTTTTCTGGATCCGACTGGATTGAAGGAATTTTTTCTGAGTGTTCGATCTTTGTATTAATAATTATAACAAACTAGTGGAGTAATGTAATTTCACAAAATATAATTGAATATCAGTTCAATAAAAATTTAATTATATTGAAATTTCAATCAAAGTGCTGTCATCTAGAGGTTAATTGCTGAACGACGACGAATTGGAGCTATTAATTTAGTTCTCCAAAGCTTTACTTTCATTTGTAGTAACTAAAAAAATATTTCAATGAACAGAAAATTTTAATAACACTTTCCGACTAAGGCTGAAACAGCACAATAAGGTATTTTTCTAGAATTTTGGAGAATTTAATGACACTACCATGTCATACAAAGCGAAAATGGGGGACTGAGTTCAAATATGTCTTTCGAGATGACAGTTTGGATTAGGGTCTTGTGAATAGAAATGAAAAGAAATCAATC